ATGTATAATATGTAATTAAAATATTATTAAAAGTAGGTTAGGTGGTGAGAAACACCCACAACTGGTTCAGTGGACTGAAATAACCCTCATCTTTTTTGGTAGTGCAGCTGACCAGTTAACTTTATTAATTAAAGAAACACATTTTCAAAGAAAGAAATTAACTGGAGAATGTCTCATGACAAGCCATTGCTATGCATCTTCAAATATTTTATAAATTAACGTGAAATAGATGGGAACCATGCTGTGATGAATTCTTCAGCTGACTGGTAAAAAAGAGTAGCACAGCAGTTGCACATTAAATGTCCAGGCATAGTTTCAAGCATTTGGTGCATATTTAGAACAAATCTAAATTTTAATGACCCGACTTGCTGCGCTACATAAAATTCTCAGATAAACTGCAGATTTTAGCTGCACTAAAAGGCAAGCACAGCCTTATGCCAAAATCTGCATTTTAGATGTGCTAGAAGGCATGCAGTTTTATATCACGTAAGAAAACAAAGAAAACCTGTGGCAAAACAAAAACTGATGTATGTAGTATGCAGAAAGATGTCTACTAGCAATTAGTCTGTTTTTACTCCATTTGTCTGTCTTTCACCCTCCTTTCTCTCGAAGTCATGACATTTTTCTTCCAGTAATCTTAAAATTAACACAACAGTGAAAAGATAAAGCTTTCTTTTTTCCCTTTTTCTCTGCCAATGTTGTAACACGGTCTCCAAAATTATTCCCCCCTCCCCTCAGCTGCTGTTTCATGATTACTACAACAAAGGCAGACAAGATCTCTTTTAACTTCTTCCACAGCCATTGAAACCCATGGAGAGAAATGGGCCGGGGCTGGAATACAAAGTCAGCTGGCGGCAGCGGGGAGTCGAGGCCGACTGGAATGAGGAGATGGTGAAGAAGCATTCCCTGACCCTGCGAAACACTCCTACCTTCGTGCCTTATGAGATCAAAGTCCAAGCAGTAAATAATTTAGGATCTGGTCCTGAACCAAACATTACCATCGGATATTCAGGAGAAGATGGTAAGTAGTGGAAATGCTCATGTGAAAACACACTGTGTGTGGGATTCTTACAATGCAAAACGATCGGATATGGAGTGATGGATTAGGGAGCTCATGGCCAAAACTGCTTAAATGCCAGTGCTGAGAGAGGGCTAGATGAGATACAGCTACAACTGATGCTGGAATCTGAGGGATTTTTTGGAAAGGTCACTTGTGCTTTCATTAATCTCAGTTTCTGGCTTAATCCAGATACTTGTTTGAAGCCCACAGTCCATAAGAAGTCTACGAAGTGTAGCAGTTGTGTTGTGGTGAGAAAGAAAAATCCTTAGCTTGTCTGGGGCCCAGTTCAACAGTTTAACAGAAGTTGCATGCTCTGGCAATTAAGTACAAACACTCAGGTGCTGCACACTGTAAGTGAATTTACAGATGATGCCACATTCCCATGTATGGTGGGTATTACCTTGTCCATTGAGTCCTTGAAGAACAGGTCCTCTTCTTCAGTCTGGGTTTCTGTCCAGTGGCTTTCCATGGCTCCTGGGTGGCACAGCCCCCTCTCAGGCCTCCCTGTGTCTATGGAGAAGTCTTCCCCACTGTAAGACTTCGCTTTGGATCTACTCCTGCAGCAGGAAGGTTGGTGGTGCCTCTTCTCTCCCCCATATGCTGTATGGAAGAAGAGGTGAATAGTGAGAACTGAGAGGAGGAAACCCCACAGCATATTTATTTTCTTTGTGTGTCTGTGATGCATTTAATTTTTGTATCTATCAGTGGAAAATCTTTCTTGCAATTCAGTCATCAGTGGATTAAGGCTTCTTTTTTTCAGGCACTATAATAGCTCTCTGTGTTGTGTAGTGATTAAAATCCTACTGTTTAATGAGCTTAGTTGTAAAATGAAACTGATTATAAAAAAACTTCGTGATTGCCTTCTTGAGTGCTGTGTTAATAATTTTTTTTTATTCTTCTCACTGCTGTAAGCATTACTTGAAACAGGAAATCATAAATACTGGTTTAGAAATTCATACATCCCAGTGCACCCATATTCCAGCCTTCAGCAGAAAGCCCTGATATGGCAAAAGAATGTTTACTGGCCCCTTTCACCCATCGGATGCAGGTGGAATGGCTTTTTTCTTGCCTGCAGTAAGACTGCATGAACTGCCACAGCTTGAGCTGGAAAACCAATCCCTGTAGCTGTGATCAGTGTGAAACTGAGCTCTTTTATGTATCTTTAATATGTAGCACTTTTGTTTTTACAGTTCCAGATGCTGCTCCTTCCGGAGTATCAGTGGATATTGTGAACAGCACACTGGTCAAAGTCTTCTGGTTTGGCATACCAAGGGACAGAGTTCGTGGACATTTAAGAGGCTATAAGGTTACAAATTTCTCTTTAAATATTTGTATATAGTTGAACAAACTACCAAATGAATCCCAGATCAAGGATAGATTGCAATCTCTCATTTCTGGGAAGATGAGATAAATCAGTATAGTTTTAAGCCCCATACAACATAATTTGTTATAGATATACCAATCTCAATGCAGGTCAGTTGGTGGAAAACAAAGAGCATGCTGGATGGAAAAAGGCATCACCCAGAAAAACACTTCCTGACATTTGTAGGAGACAGAAATTACGGGATGATTCCTGGTCTAGAGCCCTTCAGTGAATTCCGCTTAACTGTTTTGGCTTACAACTCCAAAGGAGATGGCCCAGAAAGCTCCCCTGTTGTGTTTGAAACTCCAGAAGGAGGTAAGACAAAATAAGAATATGAGGCAGAGGGACATAAACAGATACTGTCCATGTAACAAGGCAAGTTGCTTTCCTTATTTAAGGATTGTAAAATCTCTAATATTCATAAAACCCTTTACAAGAAAGGGGAATTGTAGGTGTTGAGCTAAACTATATCCTCATTTAACAAGTATGTGGAGAAACAGACCAGTTCAATCTTCTTCTCTGAAAACTAATCCCTCTATCTTCCAGTCCCTGAGCAACCACGTTTTCTCAGGATTCTGAGCTTTGACAAGGACTCTGTCACTCTGTCATGGGGACTTCCCAAGAAAGCAAACGGCCACCTTACTGGCTACATTTTGCAATACCAGATGAGTATGTGCTTGTTTTACTTTGATTTTAGAATATAAGTGTTATTAGTTAAAGAAAAAATGAGAGAGAGAGAGAAAAATAAGGGGCAGGGGGAAAGAGGTGGTTGGGTGTTACATGTGTAGTTACTTGAAACAGAGGCTGGTATGAAGGGCTGTTTCTGAGATCACTACCACAGCCATAACATCAGAGCAGCGTGTTTTGAACTGCGATGCACACACAGCCTGCTAGAGGGCAAGCTAAAGTCATCTTCCAGAGCAAAGAGTTTTCTATGCACTTCTCTGGTGTAAGCTCACATTGCTACCATGCCCTGTTCCTCATTTATAGACAAATTTAATTATTTCACATTTACGGATTACACCTAACATAGTAGTTAAGACAACCCATAAATTGTAGGGACATTTTACTGAAGTGAAACTCGTTCAGTGCAAAATAATTTGTAATGAGAGCACTTTAACCACATTTATTCAGATCTTAACATTGTGTCAGTGAGCACCTCGTGCCTGTAGAATGCCTCAGCAGAAATGCAGATCACTACCACCTGAGTCACAATATTGAGTAATCACATTGAGAAACAACTAAATACCAGGGATATTTATTTCTTCCTATGAAAGAACTGAGTAGCTGGGAAGAGACTGAGCATATAGGCTCAGGAAACATCCAGGACTGGTCACAGACTGCCACGGCTGTGAGGTGTGGTGACAATTCAAGGTATTTTGCATGGGTTTTGAGGATCAAAGAGGATTAGACTGTGCCCTATTTACAGAAAAACCCCAAACATGTACTTTTCACTTACTTCTGCTGCTAACGGAACTGCCCAGTTGCCTTTGCAAGCAGAGGCTAGAGGCTGGATCTTCCCTTTCTTTTTGATGACTGTGGACAGAGAGTGGATCTGCCTCTTTAGGCAGTTTGGGAGGGAAAATTTGTCCTTCAATTGCCAAATGTGCCAAGACAGAGCAGAGCAAAGCAGAACAGCCATTAACTTGCTTGCAAAAGTTTGCAGATGTTTGGAAGCAAAGCAAGAAGCAATTTATATATATTTAATGATCTAGGAGACAGTAATTTTTACCTCCCACTCAGTATGTGCATATCCAGAATCAGAGAGCTTTTTAAGAACAGCAATAGCTCACTGAGTAGTCAGGAGATTGACATGGACGAGATAAATCCCATTTAAGTACTTGGCAGGAAGGTGAGATATGCTTATTCAGGCTGCATCCTTCCTACTTACTGCAAAGTGCCTCCCTTGCACGACATGTTTCGTGTTCATAGCCTTTAGCTGCTGGATGTGACTCAACTGCCTTTTCCCTTTCAGTAAACGAAACACACGAAATCGGACCCCTGAGCGACATCAGCGTAACAAACCGCTCCACGCTCAGCTGGAGGCTTTCAGGTCTCAGCTCCAGTACCAAGTACAAATTCTATGTAAAGGCTTGTACAGTCAAAGGCTGTGGGAAGCCGGTCACAGAAGAAGGACTAACGATGGCTCAAGGGAGTAAGTTAATAGGCAATATGTTTTTGTGTGGAGAAGCTCTAACAATAATGGAAAAATCTATTGAGAATATTCCAGGCTTGACATTTCCTTTGTAATTAGATGAAATAAATTTGTTTCTCTTTCTATGAGCGCAATCAATGAACTTTTTAATGTAGCAATGCAGTTCTTCGGGAAAGTAGAGCTTATCTGTTTCATTTTGCTGTACAATAATTTCTCTATTCTCACCGATCAACTCTTTAAGCCATACTAGAATAAGTGAATTGCATTTAGTCATGAACAGAAAATTGAAGATCTAGATAATCTGTTCTCAATAATACTATGAAAACAAATTCTGCCCTTGAGTGAAGATGGGGGACTGCCAGCAGCAACATTAGGGGCAGGCATTTGACATGGAAAATCCAGATGAACATAATGTTGACTGCAGTGCATTTGATACATTATTTTAATGTTATTTTATCAGACACTGCAGTGATTTAAAGGAAAATCTCAAGCAGGATATGATAGCTCATCTTTCACATTCAGCTGAAATGAAATAATATTTACTGTGCTCAGCAAGTCTGAAAATTCTACAGTACCAAGGAACAAGTCCTTGCTATTAATCAGAAACCATTGCTGTGCACTTAGCACAGGGAAGGAGAAAGAGAAAGTGATAAGCACAAGTCCTGGCTTCATCATTCTGTAGCAATGACAACAGTCTGGAACAATGTTGATATAAAATAGAAAAATGGTCCTTGTTGCACAACATCCTACTGGACTTCTAAGTTGCAGAATCTCTTCAGCTACTGGTAAACCATGTAAAAAGTACTTTAAACTCATCATGTCACAATTCAGGATCCAATCATGAACTATCACCTGTTTTCTCAAGTAGTGAAACTTCACAACAGTCTTGTAGACTTCAGTCTTACTGTAGAATACAGGTACTCACGTAGTGGTAACTATTAAGCTATCAGCATGATTTAAAATGAGTTCTTCATTAAGGAAAGTAAAAAATCCTTTTTGTTTCCCAAGCTAAAAATACACAATTTCACCTCATTAGTTATCTTTTCTAGCCTTCATTGGGTAGCCAGAATAATGTGGGTTTTGCCACTGTAAAATCTGTATCTCTTTTGAATAACCTTATCAGATTTTCTGAAATGCATCCCTGTCTGATATGCTTAAAAGGATGACAATGTAGCCATTCATTTTGTTCTCGTTCTCTTCTTTCCTAAAACTGTTTTGGCACCGGCAACAGATGACCCTTGTGAAATGCTTGTAGAATAGAGTAGTATAATTAATATATGCTACAAGGGTCCAGTTCTGCAATTAATATGTGCTCCTTGCTAGTTCTCAAGCCACCCTAAATTAGGGCACTGCATCTGTCATTGAGATGCCATTAGAGTTTTGTGTCATTATTTTCTGGTTTAATTGTTCAGATATTTTTCAACTAAACATGGTAGGCTGAAAAACAAGTAATCACTCTTTTCAGTGACCTTCTTAGGGTTTTAAGCTGTGGTATGGGAAGCAAAGCAATTGCTCAGAATTAAAGCAATCACTCTTTTTGAAGAAAGGGAGTGATTGCAAAAGTCGAAGTTTATAATTTAAAATGACCCACATAAATGACAGATGTAAAATGTGGTGCCCTCTGAAATGAAACTCCATGATAGAGCACTCCAAGTTTCTTTGGGTTTTGATTCAGTGATTCTATATCCACTCTGTTCTGGTTTTAGTAATAAAAACATAAAGCTCTCATTGTTCATTTTAAGACTTTGAATAGCTTCTACTGCTGTAATAAAGCCTTTGCAGACTGTGCCATGGGTATTTCAGAATTTCACAACACATTCTGCCAGGAAAGTGGAGATGTTGAGGTGGAAACTATGGATTCGTTCAGATTTTATCACAGATACTTGATCTGCATCACTACTATTGTCTTCCGTTTATTTGCAGTTATCCCTGCTACTGCAGTCTGGAATCAGAAAGAAAAGCCAATCTCTTTTCTTAATATGTATATATGCGAGTATGCATGTATCACCACTAAAACCAAGTCTGTGTAAGGAAGATTGTTGTGCTCTAAATGATACTTTTGCCAGCCTGTAATTTATGTGCAATTGATTTCCTGATGATGAGATTGCAGTGGCATGAATGACTGAATTTAGTAAAAAAAGGTTTCTCTCAATTAAATAAATGTAACTCCCTGTATAGATAAATAGGTGGATTGTTCCTTTTCTCTACAACTGCAGCATCTTCTTCTGTGAATGAAACATTCAGATTTTTGTCAGGAGTAGCACATTGCTTTGAGTTAGCAACATTTTACCAAAAGGTCAATGAGTGAATCCCATCTCATGCTCACATCTCTCTCTCTTCACTTTCCAGTAGAGCGTTGCTGCACCCTGTGCTTTTCTGGCAGTGATTTTCAAACCCTCTGCTCTTCCGTACTGCCTCTGTCAGAAGGGGCTGTTTCTGTATAGTTACTTAACAGACAGAATAACAGGCTTTAATACTTCTCTCTAAGATTAAATGCAGGCCCATTGGAATTAGTGAAAAACAGCAGTAGGTGATAAAAAAAACTTTCATGCAACATCTTTGTTGCATGACTCAAAACCACTGACACTGGCAGCTAATACCGTCAATGAAATAAAGGGCCTCTTTCTTATGAAAGATGTTAAACATAGCCCAAAAAACCCTCAGATACAAAACACCAAGAGACAACCAAAGATTATTATCATTTGTTGATAAAATACTGTGGACATCATGAAGAACCTGGGCAAAAGGATATTTGTGTTGTACCACAAAATAAATAATAGTTCAATATGTTTGGCTTCAGCTCGGTTTCATTCCACAGAAGAAGGTATGCTGCCTTTAGAAAATGAGTTTAATCGCTAACTTTTCATTTTCAGGCAGTATTTCTTAAATTGCCAACAAACTAATTAATTTTCCCCTTGAAAATGTTGATTTCCCAATGACCATTAGCCCTGAGAAACAGCACAAAATAATGTTCTTATATAAATGAAAAAAATTAATTTAATTTAGCAGTCCTTCTTGAACACAGAGCTTCTTTTCATCTAGTTACCAGTGTTTCTTGAGGATTACCAAACACGTATTACATGTTGAGAATTATTACTGTGTGTCTAGAAAGTCAAGCCTTAATGAAAAATTCATCCAGAGGAAGCCATACAACAGTAGTTTTATTTTTCAGAGAAGCCAGAGAATAGAAGTTCACCAGTTTCATTATATTTCAATGGCAATTGGCTTGTAACTCCTAAGACTTTTTGAAAATCTTAGCCAGAGGATACTAATCTTCATCACACACCGTAAGATGAGGACAGTAACCATTTGTACCAAACATACGGTTTTAGTTCTCTTTTGCCACAGGCACAGTGAGAAAGGAAAAATACAACTACCTTAGCCATATGTAACTACTGGTATTGTTACCAGCAAACCCCTGGAATATACCCTACTTGCTCACAATCAAGAGAAGCTGATGAAATCTTGATAAGTTTCTTTTTTTTTTTTTTTCTTTCATTTATGCCATTCCACTTTACTGCCTCTTCTTTGGCCAGGGGACCTGTAGCCTATCAAACCCTGTTGCTCATTGCAGCAACAAACCAGCCAATATGCTGCATGCAGGCTGGAACAGGAAAAAGAATATCTGGTATATCACTGTTTCACACCCCTACCATCCTGAGCAAGAAAAACAAGCATGTTAGACATAATATATTAAATATATGTCTTGCAATATTTTATATTATTATTCACAACATTGAAGCAAATCTGTGATAGTTTGTCTTTGGTATATTTCTTTTTATCTTTTTCTTCTTCTGTTAGCCTGCCCCAGTGTAGCCAACATTGAGAGCTAAAGAGAAGCAGCAAGAGATGAACAATCTATAACCTGTCTTCTTGTGCAAGCTCAGTACAAATAGATGGTCACTAACTCACCTATTAGTTCTTCTCAATACACTATATATAAGAGGTTTACCAATCTCTACATTTTAAAATATTCCCAATTTAGCATAAATTTCCTCCTGTACTAAAAAAGAGGAAGGATATTTGTGATGTGTATTTATACACTTTCAATAGCCAGGCAGTAGGGGAAAATTAATAAAAGTTGATCTTTCCATTTATCACAGCAGATAAATTTAGTCAGGTATGGTTATAAATTAAGATGTTGCCCACAATTAGTATTTCGCTATTAGGCTGCCAGCTTTTTTGTAAGTATGTTTTATAACGGATGTGCTAACTTTTGGAGAACTAGTGCTCTTGTAAGTCTTTGGGGGCAGTTTCTGTTGTTTTTCCCTTTATACCATAAGCTTCTATAAAAAATGTGTGTTCTGTTGTTCTCATAAATCTTGAAGCCCGGTAGGAATATTGTAAAATTGCTGTTCAGTGTTTAATGTTCATGTGAGTCCCATGGTATGGCTGATAAATAGCGGGGGAAGATGAGAAGTGCTGGTGATATGCCTTTATTACTAACGTTTCTTCTCCCTTATTGTAGATTAAAAACCTAACCCAACTGCTTTCAATTTTCTGAAACTAATTTTTGCAGCTCACTGACCTTTCAGTATGTCGAGATTTTCCTTATCTGTCTGTCTTTGCTTTTATTTTTCAGGATTCTACACTGCCTTTTCTATTCCAACCACCAAACCTGCCCATAATATTAGCAATGCTTTCTCCTCTGTACATACTGTATTGAGTGTGTAACACAGACCAGAAAGACATCACACGGAAAGAAACCTCATAATCACCCATTACTGGATACCTGTATTGAGTTTTTTTTAAAAAAAAAGTGTTCAGTGTTTTGGAATAGGTGATGTTAAACAGCCTGAACAGCCAATGGTAGATCCTCAGTCCCAGGTCAGGTTGTGCTTAAACCTTCATTCCAGTACATGCATCCCAGCCCTACTTGGTGTGCCAGGGCTGTGGCACAGCTGGAGGGGCAGTAACTTGGCACAAAATGGTTCTTTTTTCAGCCATATCAGTTCCCCCTTTCTGCTTCTGTGAAGAGCTGACCATTCAGAAAGAAGAGGCTGGCACAAGATGGAAATAAATAGGTGATAGATGGGGATTGGTTAAATTGGTTTACAAAAATGAGGAACAAAACCACAGCTGCTGGCCACCACTGAGCTCAGGGTTGAGCATTCTGCTTACTAGGAGAAATCCTTACTAAGGGAGTTGTGTTGTGTACAAACTGGACCATGTGGTTATCATGTAATACATAAGTGTTATATGATATTTAATACACAATAGGTTGAAGGTTCACATTCATTCTTGTTACTTTATGGATAGTGTTTCCATTAAATATGTTTTTCTGACATCTTGATTTTAGGGCATGTAATTCAAATATACCTGTGGTATCCTGTTGCTTAATTTGCAGTTTGATTGAAAATTATAGCTCAGTTTCACATACTCCATTTAGCAAAAATTACCAATAGATGCATTAAATTATGCTAATAATCTGTGCTTCAGTATCAGCAACATTTCAGCCGTATGTATTCTTTCTGGGTCCCAATGGTCTACTAATTTAATTGCTTATAATAATACACGTAGAGTTGCCTTGGAAAACTGATCTTCAACTATTGCTTTGATTGTGCTTGGATTAATTTTAATCATTTTTTTCCTTCAGCTGTCAGCTAAGCCTTAATCTCTGAAAACTTCTTGCTTTGCTTGTTTACTAGTTGAAATATTAATAAGAATTGGTTTACTGTCAGTGCTAGTTGGTCAACTAGTTTTCAGATTATACTTTGTGCTCAGTCCTTAGTCTAGACGATTTTGGAAAAAGCAGGTAAATTAGGCAACTCAGCATAATTAAAATGTTATATTATTAATTAAGTGCAGACCCCACAAATCTCTTTGCTGCCATGAAGGGCAGGCACCCTCCTGTTTGTACCTGTTGGCTGACTAAAGAGATTCCCCATGTCCACATAGAGTTCTGAATTTCTTGTGTGAACAGGCTTTTCATGTTCAGTGATTGCTAACCTCTGTACATGTCCTTTTTTCTGTTATCCACAAATGCTATTTTAAAAAAAGCTTATTTAATTCCCTGCAATCTTAATGCAGACAGAAATTACAGTAGGTGTTTTGGAAGTAAAAAGACTCTGAAACTAGGGGTACTGGAATTTCCCTTCTACATCTTAATCAAATATTAAATCCTAAACATCAGTTTAAAACCAAACTTCAGCTATATCGAAAACAGTGCTTCATATAGGCATTGTGGAATTCAAAAAGACATGGAAAATCACTGTCAGGAGAGAAATGAGTACAAATCCCAATGTTATTTTTTTCTGTGAGACATATAAGAATCCATTTCCAGATAACAAGCTGTCTGTGCTTCCCTGCTGAGTTCAGTTCAATGGGAGAAGCATCAAACCCCAGATTATCTATACAAAGCAAGCCCATTTTCAAGTTGTAATTTTTTAAGCACGCATTAGTTAAAGCAGGTCCGTAATCCCCCATCAATATTAACTTTCCTCCTGGGAAATGTACAAACCCCTTCATAAACATCAGGATTACTTCAGTCTGCTGTTTGTTTTATCTGATTGAATATTAAAAATCAAATGGGGGAAATGTTTTTTTACTTCACTTCCTGCTTTGGAAAATCAGATTATCTGATGACAAATGTTAAAATCCTTGTGTGTCATGTGTGTCTGTTATTTGCATTATCTGTAACTGTGCATTTTGCAGGCCTTTTGTTCAGTGAATACCATTAATCAATGTGAATTGAATATGTACATTCCGTAGGTAAAGGGATCGGCAAGATTTCAGAAGCAGTAAAGCCCACCCAAAAGTTTCACCCCATTGAGGCACTTGAGCCTGGAACTGAATATACAGTTCGTCTAGTGACTAAGAATTGGGTTGATAACAATAGCATTTTTGAAGATGTAATTGAGACAAGGGGGAGAGGTGAGACATGCAACCCTTCAAGGTGATAAAGATTTATTTCGCATGTAAATAAATGTTGAGGTTACATCTTGCATTGTGCAGTGAAAGTGTACCAAAATCATCATTTTGTTCTGTGTTTTTTGACCCTTGCAGTTGAATCCCATGGGAGTATAAATGCATCCATGGTTCTTGGATAAGTCCTGTGCTTTACTTGATGCACAATAACCTGGAACAATTACAAACCTTTACAAAACAGTTTTCCCTCCTATGTGATTTTGAAAGGGTAGTGCTGTGATATAATCCATTTTAAGTGTGCCAGTCCAGTGGTTTGCATGTATCAGGTGCACTTTTAACTCTATTTCTTTTGCAAAACCTGCTTTTGCATGAGAGGCTTAACAATTATCTGTTCAGCTTTCCTATTTGGCATTAATCCTTTGAGTCAACTGCTCTCTCAGAATTACCTTTACAAAATGTCTGTATTGTGCCTTCTAGACTGCACATTCCCTTTAAATCTAAAAATGTCATGCTCTGGATATATTTCTGTCTTGTATTTCTTTAAGTTGAACACAATAAGTAGCGATAGAGTGACATAATTAGGATCCAGTGAAGAACATGTTTTGTGTTCATGTTATAGTAGGGTGATGCCCTCTTCCTCTGATTAATCTTCTTTGTTGTTTTTTTTTTCTTTTATTCCTTTTCTGTTTCACAAAGCGTATGCTGGTATTTACGATGGAATTTCCACCCAGGGGTGGTTTATTGGACTGATGTGTGCCATCGCTTTGCTCACCCTTCTGCTGCTAACTATTTGCTTTGTCAGAAGAAATAAAGGAGGAAAATATTCAGGTAAATGGATTTATTGTCCTTTCACTATGTTCACACATAATAACAGGCATCCTTCAGACTTTTCTCTCTGGAGGCTGCAAAGCCGCAAGCAGAAACATCCAATTAGGATTTGTAGCTTTTGATACATATACACAGAATGGATTCTAATGAATATAAGTGAAGCTGTGCTCTCTGGGTGGAATAGTGCTGTGTGCTGGTCAGAGATTTTGCTAAGGCCTTTGATAGTGGTCATTGAATCTTTCAACATTTAAACAAGCCCTGAAGTCAAGGTTTTCCACTGGTTGCACCTCTGAGCCTCTCTTGGTAGGGCTACCTGCTCACTTTCCACTTAATAACAATTACTTGACATACTAGCCTAACTTCCATGGGTAACCAAACTGCTTAACGATAGAATGATTGCTAAAAATAATTCTGCAATTTGCAAAGCAATGAGTAAAGTTTTCAGTATAAATATTTAAGTATAAATCTGGTTGCCCAGAGAAGCTGTGGCTGCCCAATCCCAGACAGTGTTCAAGGCCAGATTGGACAGGGCTCGGAGCAACCTGGTCTGGTGGAAGGTGTCCCTGCCCATAGCAGGAGGTTGGAACTGGATGAGCTTTAAGGTCTCTTCCAACTCAAACCATTCTATGACTCTATAAACACTTTCTAGATTTCTTAAAAATCAGGTGATGGGCCCAAACTCTTGATGCCAGTTGTATCCACATGCAGCGGGAGCTGCTGCCCTCCAGGTTAGGCTGTAGGTGATGACAGGTGGTTTTCCCATTGCACCAGCTAAAAGAAGCATCCACGATGGAACATGGCATACAGATCTGTGCTTTATTTTATTTTATTTGTACAGTGAAAGAAAAAGAAGATTTGCATCCAGATCCCGAAGCTCAATCAATAAAAGATGAAATCTTTGGGGAATATAGGTAAATAGGACCTGCTTTAACAAGCATTTGTGTTTCTTGGGGTTTGGTTTGTTTCCAGATATCATTATTATTTAGGACATCTTTATAGCATGCAATTAATGCTATTTTTCATTTTCAAAGCAAACCTCATAGGAGTGGAAAGGGTAGGAATATAAAGGTATATCCAGTATACTTAAATCCATCCAAGTTGGGATATAAGTAAATGTTGATGTGTTAGTGGTTATTTTTCACTTGGTTTTCGTTCATTTTTTTTTTAATTAGCATGGTATGAATAATGTAAATATATATGATAATTTGGGTTTCTGCTGTAATGTCCATTGGGCTCAACAGAAAGACTTTTATGTCATCAGTGGGTTTCTGAAACTTGGTCAGGCCCAAATTGTGCAATATTGGGAATGTTCCTTTTGCGGAAGAAAACAAAAGTTTGAAGTACATTAACAGATGGCAAAACCCCAAACAAAGCTTACTACAGAAGTTTCTGTAGGAGAACTGAAACAATCACTTTGGCTGCTTTAAAGTAACTAAAGCTTATAATATTGCGTAACTGTGGTATGAAGGAAAATGCATCATTATAAGAGCCATGCTGGAAAACCAATGTCGATGGCCTTAAGGGAATAAAATTTGTGATGAAATCCTTCTTATATATACTACATTATTTGTACTGGAATAGGGTTTTATTTCTGCATAATTTCATCTTTATTTAATTTTTAATGCTTTCTAATGGGACAAATATTTAGAAAGGTAAGAAAGTCCTGAGGTTAATAACCTTGACCCCCTCTTTTCCTCCCAGACTTACCTTTTTTTATAAATAGAAATGCCATGTGCAGAAAAGTAGCAAATGTTTTTACTGTACTGATTATACACATAATTGATTATATGCTGGAGAGGTAAATTTCAGGTGTATTTTTCTATCCTTCCTTAGATAACATTACCAAAACTTTGACACTGAGTTGGCATCAGCAAGGACCATAATTGAGTAATTATGTGCCTAGTTCAGAGGCCTAATACGCTGTTTGGGTATTTTTATAATCTTTTAATGTATGTTCAAATCCCCCCAATATAGTGTTTAGCCAAGAGAAGTGGGGCTACTTTGGTTCTTCTCCATAGAGAAAATGGCTAGCAGAATTTCCCTTTTTTCCTAAGTTTTGGTGAGGGTCTGTTCTTTTTTATGAGATTGCCATTGAACATAGACCACATATGAGCAGATACAGGCACTTGATTCTGCTTTTGTTTTCCCCTATTCCTCCCCTTTAGCAGAGAGAAACTCCATCAGTTAGAGTAAGATAACAGCAGAATAAAGGAAAAAAGAGAAAAAAGCCCATCTCAAATCAAACGCTCACAAAGCAGAGAGATATAACTTATAGCTGATGCCTCATCCCACAAATATACATCAGTTCCCCCACCCACCTCAAAAGAAAAATGAAATAAATAGGCCCTGAATATTGCTCACTGTTTTGTAAACTGAAAACATGTCTTTCTGTAAGATGCTGAAGACTTGACATCAGCAGTGATTGCTGGAATGGATCCCTGGAATCCTTTCCAGCATTTCCTTTTCTTTCCTCCCTCACTTTCTGTCCATTCTTCTGACTATCCAAGGCAAAAAGGGAAAAAAAACCCCAAAAGACACATGTACTTTTCATTGATGTTTGCCTTTTTTACCAATTCCATTGTTAAAATAATCACAAAATCATGTATGTGGGGAATTCAGGTTGGTGTGCATGACCTGTGTGAGGTGAACCAGACCAAGCAGGACTCACTGAATTAGATCATTCCCAGTGTACAACCCACATAGAAATGTTTCCCTTGCTCTTCCCTCCTGCTGCTTACTTTCACAGTAAAAGAGTAGTTTCCATGCTTGCGATTAAAAGCTAGATTTTTGGAAAGGCATTTCTTTGTTTTGTAGTGACAGCGATGAAAAGCCACTGAAAGGCAGCCTCCAGTCAATTAACGGGGACATTAAAGCCACTGAAAGTGCTGATAGTCTGGTAGATTATGGAGAAGGGGAGCATGGGATGTTCAATGAAGATGGTTCATTTATTGGAGCTTATTCTGGATCTAAGGAAAAAGGGTCAGTGGAAAGCACTGGGAGTTCTACGGCAACTTTTCCTCTCCACGCCTAAAATAATAGTGGAATGATTTATGTTTAATTGTGATATTTATCTCGGTTAGTACTCCACAGTTACCACATGTGATTGGAAGCAGGTTGCCAATTGAACCAGTCAGGAACCTGACATGCAGGTAATACAAAAATAAGTCACTGCCACTAAAAGATGATTTTCCATCCTAATTTCTAGGTGTTTTCTTCTAATTAAAACAAAACAAATCATTTTTTACTATAGAAAATGTCTTAGTCTTACCAAAACAGAATTTCTCAGTGTTACGTCTGTATAATTAACTGCTACTCCATGTGTGTCTTAGGTTTGGAATATGTTTCTCTGTATAGTATTTTTTTTCCCATGTGGCTGCTGTCACTTTGTACATACATTTATACATAGTATTTCCTCAAATACCATGGCCTCTACCAATGGCATAGTAGAAGTTGTAACAAAACAAGAAAATCGAACAAAACGTACAGATTACTCTGCAAAGTGACACCATGCATCCTACTGAGAAAAATGATAATTTAAAATACTGGAGAAATGTATTCTATATATTGTATAATTTTTCATAAAGAAATCAACTCCTTTTTTGAGATATTCTAAAATTATTTTAGTGGCTACAGCTGACTGCAATATCCAATTCTTAGACATGCAACTATCCACAGAACAATTGCTCTTAAAAGACAAAGCTCTGGCCTTGTAGATGAATCTTCTGCCCAGTAGCTGGCACTATTTCCTTAAACAAGTTAAGCTGCAGTATCTTTCCTGTGGCAAGGTAAAACAGGGTTCCCATCCACCATCATTAGAAAGTATTTTAATTTCTTTTCCCAAGTCTCTGCGAGCTGCATTTCTAAGCAAAATGCTTGTTGTCTGTCTCATATCTGTATATTTGTGCACTAGCATACATTTCATAGAGACATTGTACATATGATATTAATATTGGCACAAGTAAAAATCAGCCTTGTTTTATTTTGAAATGAGACATGTTGCTAGCATGAGTAGGAATAAATAGAATTGCTTCTCAATATGAGTTTGGACCAGCAAAACTAGTTTTCAGAAGGAGTTGTGTGTTTACCAGTCATATAAATACCACATCTTTCCAGTATCACATAAAATAGACCTACCTGACTTTTATCATTTATTTTCAAGCTATTCATTGTTATATAAACAAAAGCAAAAGCAAAAGCAAAGAGAAAATATTATGGTATAATTTCTTTTATATTTTGTTTACTGAATGCTGGTTTAAACCTGTATCTTTTCTTTGCCTCTCCAACATTAACTCAGCAAGCTGTATAGCACATTTTTTTGGTCTTTTTGTATTGGAATCTCTTGAATTTCTTTAAATGTATGTATTTTTTAATATGCTTATTTGAATAGAGTATCAATATGGTTTAATTTCTTCTTGCACTTACAAATGACTTCAATTATGGTATTTTTTAAATAGTTACTACAGGAGGAATAGATCCTAAAAGCCATTTTGCATCGCGATACTAATTAGGCAAATATCCCCAATGGCTCCTTCATGGTCTCCATTACTTCAATGGAAGGAAGAGAGGAAGCAAGAATTACTTGCATAGTTACAAGTTTCCAGTAAAGGCTACAATTAAGGCAGTTTAGTTGCCCACAGAAATGCAGGTTGTTACCTGAAAGGCTGTGGTGCATACACAGATCACCTTAGGACAGGTTCCTTCCCAGCACTCATCCATTTCTGAAAGCAGTAAGTGGCCTCTGGTGCTCTATGCTTCTGCATATTTGTTCCTCTTTATTTCTATTTTTTTTTAATTTAGCTTGTAAGGGCCTTTCATATAGCCTCTGTTATGAATAAGCAAACCCCAAACAGCCAGCCTGAAACCATCAGTGATGCCATGTATATGAGTATGAAAGGAGTGGAAATCTGCCCTGATTCAAAAATCACCATAGTCTGTATTGAGTGAATCTGTATTTCACTCAGTCTAAATACTGAAAATGTCCAAAGTAATTTTCATTTACAAAAAACCAAACCAAACCAAAATGTTCATTTTAAAAGGGAATGAGCACATAATTGGACAAATGTGAAAATTGGCATCTCATCAACAGAGGCATTTCCCACCAGGATATTTATCTGCTGAGTCTTGTCTGCTGCAGCCCAAACCAGATAAAGTTTAAGAACTGATTGAGCTTGTGACAGCCCTTGTTGCAAGCTTCAGGCTCTTTTCATGATTTCCTTTAGGAATCATCTGCATTAACACATGACCAAGGGTCTTTGAAATAGGAATAAAAAATTAGGGAATGAAATCGGGATCGACTGCCCCAGAGCCTCGCTAACCTCCTGTGCACAGGGAGGGGCTGTACCGGAGCCTGGCAGAGCTCTCCCAGCTGCAGGGTCACTAACCAGGGCAGATGCCTATGGTGAGGCTGGATGCCACCCACCCACAGCCCCAGTCATCCATTTCTCATGTTGCTGTAGATCCACTCGACTCCTTGTCCCAGAAAATGCCTACATTAAACAGGCACAAATTTCCAATCATATTAGTGAGTGTCAAATTATCAAATAATGAATATAAATCCCCTGTGCTATTACTTGATCTGTTGCTGCTAAGAGATGTTTATGACATTGCTGTGATGTGCTACTCATCTGTGCCAGTATGAGTGCTTTTCCTATTAAAATTTTAATTCAGATCCTTAAATCTCAATGTTGGTGTTTTGTGATGCCTCAGGGCCTAAAAATGATACAGTGACAAAAAGATGTGCCATGGAATTTGTATGGTGTGCACTGACTTTTGAGGAATATGCCGAATGAATATTAAACAAATGGCTAAAACTCCTGGGGAATCTCACTCACCTGAGCTTTTTTCTCTTTCTCAACCATTTATTTTCCATTCTTTTTTTTCCACGATGGGGTTTTATTTTCTATTGTAAGGGTACCACTTATACAGTGTACCCCAGACAGTGCAGGAGCCTCATGTTTTTATTAGTGATTTTCTTTTAAAAGTAAACTGACAGAGTAAGCTTAGATTTTCCTGAGCAGTCTTTTGTCCTTGCCAGGAGATGGGCTGCATTTTTTTCTAGGGCAGTCTGTTACAGGTGAGAGGAAATGTGGCCACGCAGGCTGAACAAAAAGTATCACCAACTGTACTGCAGTTCTAAAATAGTACATTAAATCCATTCATGTATTTTATCCTTTTTTTTTTCACTCTGGCCAGGAGTGTTTATTAAAATCAGTTGATGGAAATCTGTGGCGATTTCATTAACTACTGCCTAGCAGGGGATTTCAGACTGCCTGCTGGGAGAAGGGAGTCAGAAACGGCCAGTGTGTGAGCATGCTGGATAGGCAATTATTAATTACTCAGTGTCATGGCTACTAGTTCGGTTATGTTTGGTTACAAAGTGCCATTATATTTTGCTGGCAGTACAAGTGTGAGAGGGGAAATGACACTTTCAGATTTGATATCTCAGTCCACCTGGGATGCAATTTCATCCAGCAAGGAGGAGGCATTTCCCTGGTCCCAGGAATCCTGGCTTGCAGATTTAAGCTGCCTCCCCTGCAACGAGAGGGCTGGATGTTTCTCAAAAAGTTATGAGTGTGCATAAGATTAAGCAAAGAAAATCAGCTATTCGTTACTAATGGGGAAAAAAAGCCCTGTGTGCTAGCTCCCTGTTCAGTGAGCCATTTGCATTCACAGAGCAGAATACCATTGATTTGGTATGAATTGTAATGTCAGATCTAGGTTTTTATAAAAAAAATAATATATATATAGTTAAATAGCACAACCAGGAACTTGTAGGAATGGCCCCAGATTCATTCTCTGGCAAAATTTGGGGACCAAAATTTGGGGACTCAAGAAATCCTCACTTTTGCTTGGCTCTGCTTTTCATCAAGGATAATATTACATGACTGGGTATCAAAGCCCATCTGGGGCTGGATCTTTAGGAAGAGAAGAATCAGGAAACAAATCAGAAAATGACATACCCCTCTGGATGAAATGCATGTATGTATTCTAAATTAAATAACCTTTGTAACTCAAGTTTTAACTGTATCTAATTAGCATACCATTTAATGATTTATCATGATTCTATGATATTTGTTCTGTTGTGTTCTTATTGCACAAATTTGAATGAGTAGCTCTTTTTCTGGTAACTACTTCCATTGACTGAATGGGTCAGATCCAATGCATGAGAGGCTTTAATGAAAGTTACAACTTTTGAGATAAAAACAAATACTAGCACAATCTTTCTATATAAAAAGATAGGGGGGTTTAACAGTAATTCCATATTCAGTTTGTAAACTGAAGTTAGAATAACGTTCACTGATCCTTGTGCACTTCTGAAAGAAAATCTCATCATGATTTTTTATAGTCATCATTTTGCAGAGGAATGGTAAATCTAGATTATTTTACATGCCTGTAAGAACAGATACAATGAAAGGGAATTCTTGATGGCAAGAGAATTTCCTTTATATAACAATGGATCAAGCCCTCAGCTGCGTCTCTGTTAACGTTTAATATATCAAAATAAGGCCTATAAACTGTGTTGCAATACCAGCACATATGTACACTGCAGCTCTGTATCTTTCATGTAAAAGTCTCAAGTGATCTGCACTGATTTATTCCGTTTTCAGGCAGGAGCCAGTAGGTGGGTTTGAGCCAAAGCACACTGTCTGTTTCGTTTTTTGTTGTTACTATTACTACTACTTTAAATAAGATACTTTGTAATTTCATGAGAAAAGATCAAAGCAAATGTGGTGTCACCGTTACAATGTTACTTTTTGAGCTAAATGTTAGTGTGCATTTATTAAAGTTTAGAGAAACGTGTTGTACTGTAGTTGCTGTTTGTGTCATGCATATGTGCACGTATGGTTTTAAAGAATATTTTCATTTTACATGAAATACAACTTTGCTAATAAAAGTTTGACTTGATGTAATCTTCAAAAGCCTTAGCTGTAATCAGCAAGTTTCTCTTTTGTTTCTGTTTGTTGGGTTTTTTTTCTCCTGAGTACCATTTCTTTGCTGGGAATCTGTTTCAATTGCCATTCATAGCCCTCTCTAGTTTGTGGTCTCTGGTGGGATTTCTTGCCCTCACACCAAGGTCGAGCTGCCCTTGGCTTTCACTGGGACTGTTGGACACCTCAAACCATCTAGATATGATCTGCACCAAAGCAGGGATGAACCTGAACTGCAAACACCTTGAATTCAAATGCCTCATTTGTTTCATGGTATGATCATCTCCTGGATCAAATGATCATCCTATATAATGTTAACATCTATAACATGTTTTATATACTCCGTGTCGGTTAACATCACATAACTTCCCAAGCACACAGAGCTTAAAGCTAAGTGCCATGTGAAATACCTGCAAAAAATAACATTATCCAGTATTAAAATACACTTAGCCATGAAATGCAAGACAAAAGCTCAACATT